GTAGTTTCAGTAGATGAGTGTTGAAAAAGAGAAGTGTCCAACTTAAGAACACTTGAAGAATCACTTGAAGATTCGAAGATCTAACAAGAATGTGATGATGTTTGTGTAAGCAATCTATGATTTTGAGTAGGAGGATGTGTAATAATCATAAGAAAGATGATGATACTTACTAAATGAAGGAGAAAAGTCTTGGAGTATTCCTTGAAGTTCTCGAATTTAAGAGAGAAAGGTGAGAGAGTTTGGAGTGTGATTCTTGGTGGAAAAATGAGAGAATGAATGAAGTGTGAGGAGAGGGGGTGGATGTTCCAACTCTAAGAACGTGGGAAATGGCTGGAAATAATGAGAAAGGACTATGAAGTGACTAGGGATGGGCTGATGGTGAATAGTGACATGGAGTGGGTATGGGAGTGCTTGCTTGTGTCATAGAATAAAGGAAAGTCAACACTCCACCTATTGTACTTCACCCACTCTTCTTGGATAAGGTTTTATCTTTAAAAATGTGATTAATTAATAATTAAGGGGTCTTATATGTTAAAATAAAGTTTTAGGTGAAAATCCCGCGTTAAAATAATTAAAGACGGGCCTAAAACGCAAAACTAGTCGAAAACGGAAAGAAATGGACTTCCAGCGAGGCCTCTCGGTCCTAGGCTGAGGTTCGGTCCTCCTGATGCTAGGCGCGAAGCAAAGTAAGCGAAAGCAGCAAGAAACGAAGGCATGCTCGGTCCGAAGGCGTCAGAAGCGAATGAGACCGAAGTGAATAGTAACTTCGGGTTCGGGTGTGTGCGAGGTTCGGTCGCGAGAGGGCCCTTCGAGTTTGGTTCTATGAGCGAGGTTCGTGACCGAGAGCACCCCTTAGGGTTCGGTCCTCTTGGTTTCGGTCCCTAAGAGGACTTTCGGGTCCTAATAGGCTTCGGCCCTATTAAGACGGTTTCGGGTCCTTAAGCCCTTTTTGTCCGTTCTTTCCCCGTTTTAAGACGTTTTCGACCCGGTCAAGGGTGGGAATGACCCGAATGACTTCAGAAAGTTGCGGGAACTTTTGAGAGAGATTTCACATTCTTGGAGAGATTTCTCATACATAGAGAGATTTGGGAGAGATTTCACATACTTGGAGAGATTTGGGATAAATTTGACATACTTAGAGAGATTTGGGAGAGATTTGACAATAGAGAGATATAGAGTGAAATCGATTGAGAGAGGTTTCATGTGTGACAATTGTGAGTGTGTGGCTCCACAACGCAAGGTCCGTGAACTCCGTTAAGCCATGATTTAGTATCTTTCACACTCCCGATGAGTATGTAACATTGTTTCATCGTTTTTGTTCATTGTTTAGTACTACGGCTAAGGAAAATTAAACACACGACTTTTTCCAAGTGATGTTTTCTCATCAAAATAGTGGGTTGTACAGTATTTACATAACACAAACCCTAATTTACCAAGTTTATTGAGTTGACCGGTTTGACTTGATGACTTTGATCGACTTAAACTTGACCCGAAATTGACTATTGTCACAAGGAGGGGAATAGTCCCCAAGTTTGGTTGCTAGGACCGAAGGGTAGTTCGAACACCCCAGGTATGTTTGATAGTATGTTCGTGTTATGATATATGTGATAGTAGTTGAGTGTGGGCGAGGCCCGTATCTCAGAGATACTGGAGTGTGGGCGAGGCCCGTATCTCCCAGATAGCGGAGTGTGGGCGAGGCCCGTATCTCCTAGCTATTCAGTATATGATTGTATATACTTGTATGTTATGGTTTAGTAGCTGAGTGTGGGCGAGGCCCGTATCTCAGAGATAGTGGAGTGTGGGCGAGGCCCGTATCTCCCAGCTAGCGGAGTATGGGCGAGGCCCATATCTCCTAGCTGTTCATTATATGATTGTATGGTATGTGGTATGATGGGGGAACTCACTAAGCTTCGTGCTTACGATTTACAGTTTTGGTTCCAGGTACTCGTTTTCAAAGGAAAGGAGACGGATGGATCGCAACGCATCACACTATGTTTTCCGCACATGAGATCTTTTGGATTACACTCTGATATGGTTTTACGATAAAATGCTCTGATTATTGATACTTTGGTTTTGATATGAGATATGAATATGAATGTTTTATTACTGATGGTTTTATATTATAACTTAATCAAAACGAAATTTTTGGCCTTGAATTTTGGGATGTTATATGATCGACCACCTCTACATCTGCAATTAACAACTACTAATTAACAATATCATTAATATCCAAATCATCGATGGCATATTCACAAACCAAGAGATCGATGTCGGTCGTGTTTATCTACGATTATAGTAGTGACCATCGAAGACCTAAATCCTTCAGTGGTGGATCGACGGAGTACTCATCATCATGTCTTACTGAAACCGATATCCATTAAAGATCAAAATCAAGCACATACGATAAATATCAACGATGTACCTGTTAGGTTTTATTGGTAAATCGTCTACACATCTTTATCTATCTCTCTCTTTAATTTGAAACTATGAGATTTGGATTATTAATTGTTGTCTGATTGTTTCATTTTTATGTTCTGAATTAATTTATTAGCTCAATCTTTTATGTATGTTGTTTGGGAGATTAGTTAATGTATTATGTTAGGATTCAATTATAGAGATGATTTCTTATAAACATTATGAACATTCGAGTCATTCTAATTTTCCAATCGTCTTCGCGTTTAAACAATATTCAAATTGCTAAACCCTTGTTTTGTTTACAAATAGGGCCTCAATGCAAGGATAAGATCCTTAATAACATAGATGTTTGGAATCGATGAAGTTAACGATCAGATGATATATGGTATAACTTTTAATGCTTGAAGACCTCTTTAAAATGCCTCTAGCTATACATAATTAAAACATGAGTTCTGGAAAGCTGAAGTCCCACAACATCAGTTATTATTTTATGTTGTTTTTATCGATTTGTAGTTTCTTTAAGGTAATATTGAGTTGCTCCTTATCAAAAACTTTTCTTAGTTATGTTTTCACATTGTAATTCCTAGTTTTATTCAAATTCAAATAATAGGAAGGAGGATCCTAAGAGTTATGTGCTATTTGAGACTTCGAGTATAATTAAGTATGTAAATAGTGAAAATGCTCTAGCTTATTTAAAATTTTATTATATGTTTGAACTCTCATATTAATTTGATTAATTGTTTCCATTTGAAGAAGAATTGAATGAATATTTATATCTTATTGTGCTATTTGTCTGTCTCTGTTGCAACATCTTTGTGTCTGTGTTTTCTTTTTTTTGTTGTCATTTGGTTTGTTTTCATTAATTTTTGGTTCCAATAACCTGATTACTAAAAAATGGATTTTGGACTTCAATCCAGAAACTTCGACCTTCCACGTCAAACCCATTGACATCAAAATATTGATTTGATACATTTTGTACAAGTTTGGCACCATCTTAATTCATGTTTAGTATTTGTTATATAACTTCAGAGTTTGTTTCGAATTTCTATCGATTTCGAGTTTAAAATTAGTCCATTTTTAAAACTTTATTCTATTTTGATAGAAATTAACATGATCAAACTTTCTATAGTCTGATTATGTGTCTCTATGTGGTCCTTTTCTTATTGTCTTGAGATCATATTTCAAGAATAATCGGTGATCAGTATCACAAGTATGATGTAGGTCCACATATTCTAGACTTCTAATATTTTTCCTACTTCTTTATTTTGATTAGTGATAATGGAAAAGATTGTTTATGACATTATATTTAACAAATCCAGTTTTATGCCATGTAAACATGTTCCTATAAATGAGTTTTTTTCTATAAGTCACTCAGTTTTTGTAGGCAAAACATGGAGATATGCATCAGGAGGTTACACATGTAATTCATATGTTGATGGACACTTGAGAAGTTACAGAAGTGAAAGGCATGTTCCGATCTTCTCTGTTAGTTATGTCTTTTTGAATCTTAATGCAATTATGATCTCATTAACATGATAAAATGAATGCTTACAATTGAAATAAAAACTTCAGTTATCAGAATTCACACTCATGAGTTTTTTTTCCAAAAAAATTGATGAAAATGAGTTTACATATATGAATTATATGTGATTAATATGTTAATCACAAGTGAATCACATATGAATTACATGTGATTCACATGTAAATTACAAATGAATTACATGTGAATTACATGTGATTCACATGTAAATAACAAGTGAATCACATATGAATTACATGTAAATCACAAGTGAATCACATATGCATTACATTTGATTCACATGGAAATTATAAATCAATTACATATGATTCACATGTAAATCACAAGTGTAACATATATGAATTACATGTGATTCAAATGTTGTCACATCCCCAAACCAGACAGCGAAAATGTTCAAGGGCTCCTGTGACTATAAATTAAAATATCATCACTATGAATATACATGAAACATAACACAATTGTCACCAACATTACATATTACAAATGGCATTGTTCGCATCAAGTACTGTAACATCCCGTTTAGAATAAGGTAATGAAATAATGGACCTGGAACCCGAGAAGCAAATTGTATTTTTATTATATGTTATTATTGTCCGAGATTAATTAATTATTAGTGGGTTGTTAGTTTCAGGAGACCAAATAACAAGAATTGAATCTTCAGGGGTTAAAGTGTAATTTTAAGACTTGATTTGTAAGAATTTATTGAAATAGGGAATAAAGTGTAACTTTTGGATCTATGTTGAAAAGGTTTTGAAGGGGGGGGGGGGTGTTGGGTAAGTATTGGTCTGGATTTGAAAGAGATTTCAGAAGGCAGGGGCTAGATTATAAATTTTGGATTTATTTTGAAAAGATTTATAGAGAGAGGGGGTCATAGTTGCTATTATGGGGAGAAGTTTCATGGGGCTCAGGATATAAAGACCCATCACATTGGTATACCCTAACCCTAACCATTTGTTCCAGCCGCCACCACCCTATATCCCCCTTCGTCTTCGGCCGCCACCCCCATTTTTCACTTCCGTTTTTCCGACCGACTAGACCACCGACGATGCTTGCTGCGAATGGAGACCATCAACGCTCGACGAAACCAAGGGCATTGGCTGTTGCGGTTGCTTACCTATGGGGGTACGACCACCATCTTTCCTTATCTGCAACAACTGTTAGTGAGGCTGAGGCTGCCGTCGAACAAGTCGCCATTGCCATTACTCCCTTACTGCTTGTTCTTTCCGCCAACTGCTTCAACATTGCTCCTAGACGCTTGATTCACTCCACCACCGCTGTGGCCACTAGGAATTGCTGCTGCCAATGGGAATCATCCCCCTGTCATGTCCTTATTCTCTTTCTCTGTTTCCATTCCGGTGTAGCGCCGCTGCTGCCCGTTTCTTGAGTTGTTGCCGTCGTTACCCCCTGTGGTGGGTGATGGGTTTATTCTTCCAAGAAGAAGTCGGGGTGCATGTGAGCGTGTGTCACACCCCAAAACCAAGGATGGCGGAAACGTCCGGGGGTGGAGAACTTCATGTGTAGTATCATAACAACAATTACAATAGTGCTCAAAGTATAGACAACCAACAAAAATATAATTGAAAAAGTTACATCAAAGTATATGTTTACATGTTTCCAACTCAATTACATTATGTTGACAAAATAAATGAAACGTTTGATGCCTTAGCGTTCCATCCTCAGAAGCGGCTGAATACCTATTTTATTTATTCCCTGAGAATACAAGTAATTTTGAAAAGTGTCAACAATTAAGTTGGTGAGTTCATAAGTTTTTGAAAGTGATACTAAAATCCTCTTCTTGTAAAAGTGATGTATGTTTGAGACAAATCCAATATTTTCCTTATGCAATGCATTGTAATCTTAAAAGTCAAGACCGAACTGTACAAGTATTTTACCATACTTAAGAAGTTTTTGCAAGTTTGAATGAACATAATCTCGTTAAATTTAGAAGTAGAACCCGTAAATCTTATGTTTTGTTAATACCCCATGTGAGTTATTATGACCTTGTCGTCCTCGTAATACGATGTTCTTCAGGCGTTGCCAGTTAAATGACACTTGTCACCCTAGACCTGCCGTTCTAGCTCTTAACAGCTCAGGTGCGGGTTTGTCAGACCCAATATAGATCTATACACAACTATCACGTTCTCCTTACAAGAGACTCTGGTTATAATCTACAGGACTTTTGACTTTGTTACTTGGGAGGTAACGTGAAGCGAATGTCTCACAAATTTATTCATTAACAGATTTACGTGAACTGAACTGAAAACCCTTTTTTGTCGGTACTTTGTATTCGTACCCCGTTTATATGAACTGAAAACCTTTGATAATGATTTTGAAATGTAATTGTAATGTAATCTATACCTATTATAGTTTAACATAACTGTTTGTAATGTATATGAAACATAAACTATATCTATTATAGTTTATCCAAAACGTTTGTAAGCAAATGAACCCCATTTTATGTGAGTCGAACGTATAGCAAAAACATAACTATGTTTATCATGCCTTATCTTGTATTATTTGTAACGACAAAGGACTCTTACAAATCAGTGAGTATTTTCTTTTATATAATTGTACCACAACGGAAAACATAGGTAAAATATGAAACCATCAAAGATTAACACTTTGCTCAACATGTTACAAAGTGTAATGAAAGTTGTAAGCTGTCAACTTGTTTTTTTTTTTTTTACATTTCTGCACAGTCTTGGAAAAATCACAGAAAAATCATACAAAGTTGAAAACTGAATTCGTAAACTCTGGGAGTTTATAAAATGTGTCTAGTTTGTTCATAAATTTTATCATGATTTTTAGATGTCTCTAACTTATGTGAAAATGTCCATATTCACAGACTGGTCCGGATTCGTAGCTACAGTGATAGGCAGTTTTGTAAAAATCACCATAAATTGTAGAAAAATTGTATGAACATGTGCAAGTAGTCATTTTAAAGTTATAAACCTGAAATATTTTCTTCTAATACATTTTTGAAAACTGAAATGTTTAAGTTGACCAAAATAGTCTGTGGATGGAGTTAAACTTTTATGATGAAAGCTGTTGGATGAGTTTAGTTATGTTCTTGGTTTTTTAACCTGTATTCCCCCCCCCCCCCTCCCCACTTAAAACTTGAGAAAAAACATGAATATATAGGGGTATGAACTCACCTTGAGTGATTTCAGAAGATGAATGTTGACGAAAAGAAGTGTTCAGCTCAAGAACACTTAGAAGATGTCTTGAAGGTTCGAAGATCTAACACAATTGTGATGGAATTTGTGTAAGTATTATATGATTTTAGAAGAAAGGAGGTGGAATAACCATGTGAGGATGATAATACTTACCAAAAGTAGGAGAAAAAGCTTGGAGAATAGCCTTGAATCTCGAAATTAAGAGAGAGAAAGGTGTTTGTCTTTTGGAGGAAGAATGAGAGAAATGTGAGGAGAGATAAGAGTTTCTCCAGCCTTTGAATAAGAGTGTTGCTGGAAAATGGTGGGAAAAGGATAATGAAATGACTAGGTATGGTGGAATAGTAACTGAGGGTTGTACTATGAAGGTATGGAGGAGGTTGCTTGTGTTACACACTAAGGTAAAGTCAACACTTCACCCATAAATCATACCCACTAGATTTTATTTTTAGGCAAGGATTTTCCCCAAAATATAATTAAAATATGAATATTTAGGGTTTGTTATGTTAAAATACGTGTTTGGGTGAAAATCCCGCGTTAAAATCACAAAAAACGAGCTTAAAATGAAGTTTGGGTCAAAAACCGGAAATCTGGACAGAACCTGCGAGGTTCGGTTCTAAGAGGGTGAGAACCGAGAGAAGGAAAGGAAAGAACCGAAAGGGAGAGAAGGGGAACGAAGGTGCGAGGGGAGGGAAACCAGAAGGAGGCGAGGCGAGGTCTCGGCTGCTTAGCTGGGTTCGGCTCTCGGCTGCTTAGCTGGGTTCGGCTTTGGCTGCTTAGCTGGGTTCAGCTTCGGCTGCTTCTTGGTTCCAGGGGAGGCTCGGTTTAGAAGGGGTTCGGCTCTTAAGGAGGTTTGGCTCCTAAGAGGTTCGGCTCCTAAGAGGTTCGGCTCCTTAAAGTTGTTTTTCGCGTAAACTTCCGTTTTTGAGTGATTTTTAACCAAGTTAAGGGTCAGGATCCCCCCCAATGATTATAAGAAGTTGGGAGAGAGATCTTGGGAGAGATTTCACATACTTGGAGAGATTTCTCACATTGAGAGAGATTTGGAAGAGATTTCACATACTTGAAGAGATTTCTCACACAGAGAGATTTGGGAGAGATTTCACATACTTGGAGATATTTCTCACACAGAGAGAGATTTGGGAGAGATTTCACATACTTGAAGAGATTTCTCACACAAAGAGAGATTTGGGAGAGATTTCACATACTTGGAGAGATTTCTCACACAGAGAGAGATTTAGGAGAGATTTCACATACTTGGAGAAATTTCTAACACAGAGAGAGATTTGGGAGATATTTCACATACTTAGAGAGATTTCTCACATAGAGAGATATTTGGGAGAGATTTCACATACTTGAAGAGATTTCTCACATAGAGAGAGATTTGGGAGAGATAGAGATTGATAAAGAGGGATTGATACAGACTTAGTTTGTGACCTTTTTAAGTGCTTAGATTTGCAACACAAGGTCCGCAACCTCGTTTAACCCTGTTTAAGAGTCTTACACACCCCCGAAAGGGTATGCATTAGTGTTTTATTGCTTTGCGACCTCACTTATCCCGATTAGGGTTTAAGAAATATAAAAAAAATACAAACTTTTCAAGTGATGATTTCTTATTAAAATAGTGAGTTGTACAGTAATTACATAAAGTGGACCCTAGTATATACAGGTTGGAGGAGTTGACCGATTTAACCAGTTGACTTTGTCTTGATCAGAAATTGACGGTTGTTACAACGTGAGTGTGTGTGTGCTGCTGCTTCAAGCTCGTGGGTGTGTGTGTGTGTGTTCAGCCGTGTCTCACAAGCTGGTAGGTGTCTTGGATTGCTGCTACCGGAGAAAAGCCAAGGAAAAACCACCATGACCGCCGGCCATGGTGGCTGCCGCCTCAAGAACCGCCATGGAGGGTGTGTATGTTTTTGTAGGGTGTTATTTTTTTGTGTATGTGTGTTTATTAGTGGTTATGTGTGTGTTAAGTGGATGGTGTTGTAAAATGTAACAAGTGGAATAATGAAAGAAAAGTCTAAACCACCACCTTAGGGTGGTAGTTGCTGCCTCCTGCCGCCACCGGCCACCGTGTCGAGTGGCGGTGTGCTTTGATTGCGTTTGGACCTCTTTTGGGGAATGCTTGGCCAAAGTGGGCCTAATGAAGCCCTAATGGGCCCAAGAAAACCCAAATTGACCTAATAAAACCCTAATGGGTCCAATAAGGCCCAAAGTGACCTAGAAGCCCAACCAATTAACTAATAGGCTAGTATGGGGGTAGAAAACCCTAATTACGGTTTGGAAAACCCTAATAGCGTAAAACCCTAATTTTGAGAATTATTCAGTAGACACACGAGATTATTTAATAACTTGAAATATTAAATAATAATCATTGGTAAATTAACCTAAGGAAATAATGGACCTAATGGATTAAGTCCTTAATGGGTTAAGTGAGAAACACTTAACACTAATCGTCATTTTATGAGAAACCCTAATTTTACTTGGGTTTATTGTTGGGCCTTCTCTTGGGCCTTGATGATTAGATTATTAATGGGCCATCCAAGATCAAGCAAATGGACTAGAATAATTAATGGGTTTTAGGATAAGGCCCATGTGAGAGACTTGGGCCCAATTTGGAAAATTAGGCCATAGATGGGACATAATTGGGCCTTTTTATTATGTGATATTGGGCCTTAAGGAAAGACCATTTAGAGTGTGAGTTGGACTTTAGGCCCATTACTTGACTATTGAGCCTTTAGTGTGTGAGTTGGACTTTAGGCTTGGAACCCAATTATTAATTGGGTGTTGTTTATTGTTGATAGTTCGGGAATCTATCAACCAGTAGCTGGAGTTTTATTGGCGGGACTTCAGCAGTGTTAGGTGAGTTATCCTCACTATATCAACAGGGTCTAAGGCACCAAGGCTGGCCCTTTAAGGATTGTATTCGGATTATTGCATGTTATGCTTACTTATTTACATCCTGGTAGTTAGGATGATGATATGCTATGCTTGAGTGACCTGGTTGGGTCGGTATCATGGTTATGGATTGTTGTTATGCTTTGTGATCTGTTAGATCGGTTTGACTGCTATATACATGCTAGTGTGATATGATATCTATGTGTACATGATTGTCATGGTTATAGGATAATGTTATGTTAGCAACCAGTTAGGTCTGTATCCCGGTTATTAGGATTTTGCAATGATTAGTGATCTGTTAGATCGGTTTGAC